AGATCTTTAAACAGTGCTGTCAACAAACACTACTGAGTCAAGTTCATTACCTCCCAGCCAAGTCCAGCAACAAAGTCTTCATATGCTTGGCTTCCTCTTTCATTGGAGAGGATTGAACACTTGTCTTCTTGACCTTCAGCAATGTAGAACACTGCAATCTTGTGTGTCTCCCGGCTGTAAGTTTTTTAATGGAAAGGAATTAGAATTCTTAGCTTTAGGACTTTATTTATGGCCACCATCAGGTGACTCCTACTACTGAGCTTACACTTACGGAGAACTTGCTCAGAGTCAGTTACTGTTCTAAGGCAGCTGGACACAAGATCACATTTACTCTTTGCAAATGCTCTAATGAGAGCATCATTGCCATCATTTCCCTTGTAGAGATGGTTGAAAGGAGGCCCAGGAAGTTAAACAAGCACACAGAGCAAGCAGGAGACTGGGAGCAGCAGCAAGGCTGTTTCCTGGAACCACACTCTTGGACATACAAGGGGGTTTCAAAAGGTTCGTGGAAGAATGGGATGAAAAGACGAGTTTATTTCATTTCAGACAAATTTGAAATCCATCCGTAGTTTTTTCATAATAAACATTTTCCATGAACTTTTTGAAGTCCTCTTATCAGCCAAACAGCATGTTGGAGCTTGCCATTTGGCAACATCTGTGTCTTATGGGTAATGACTGTCTTTTAAAGCCTTTCAAACAGATATTGTGAATAACCTTCTGTGACTACCCACATCTCATTTCTACAACTCGAGTTGAGGCTATTGGGTAGTGCCTAGACTGGAATTCTAAGGTACACCGAGAGTTTAATAGCCACAGAACATACACAGGTATTTCCTTTGTAAACAGGTGAACCAACCTATGCTCCGACTATTCTGAGGGTCCCTGGGAGGATGGACAGCTATTCGGGAAAACCTCTTTTGGTCATTCACACACACCCTTTGCCTGCCTGTCCATGACTAATGTGGGGCACTTCAGTTTAATCACATGGACACCAGGTCCAGCTACGGTGGCACAGGGCTAAGGTGCTGCACTTGGCAGCCGGGACCACAGGGGAGGCCGGGGTTTGATTCCTGGTCCAACCTAAAATCTGGGTGTGGTGGTACATGCCTACAACCTCGGCGACTCTGGAGGCACAGGCAGGAGAATTGTGAGCTTGAAGAAGGCTTGAACAGCATAATGAGACCCTGTCCGAAAAATAGCCGGGTGCAGAGGTGAAAGCCTGTGGTCCCAGGTGGAGGGCAGAGGCAGGTGAATCAATACAGAAAGATATGACTTTGAAACAAAACACAACACAACAACGAGGTATGCACAGTGAGGACGGGAGGCCTGCCTTGTTACCCTCTGCACACCCAGCATAGTCCTTGGCAGTAGATGCTCAGCTAAATCTCTATTAACTGACCAGAGATACTTACATGTACTAATCATCGGTTTCTGCAAATCCACCCTGGAGTAAAGCAGCAAGATTACTGGACTGACACCAAGCAATTGGGTGGCAATTTAGAGAGAAACACTCTGGTGGTATTCAAACAGAGCTTGAATCAGGAATCAGGCATTCCACAGCCCCATAACTCATCTCGGTCTTTATTTTTCAAAAGTGTGGACTAGCACTCCCAGAGCAGTCCCACACTCCTCCTTACGTCTGCATTACATTCTAAAAAAAATTCTCCAGGAAAAACTCTGAAGCGCTTGAATAATAAAATGTTTCTGCTGTCTAAATGTTTACTATCTCAACTCTGTCATCAATCAGATTAATATCTCAACACTGTAATCTGATTAGATGTCCATATTGAGGAAATTGAGCTCCATATTTTAATAAATCCTCTCATGTTTCTTTCTGTGTGAGTTATTTCTGTACTTAAAAGCAAGACTAACTGAACTTCAACTAAAAAGTTACATAAATAATTGCAGGAGGTGAGATTTTTGCTTCTGATCATTTAGATAGTTTGTTCATTTCCCACAATAGTTTAATGAAAAATCAGAAAATATAGAAAGGAAGAGTTTAAAAAATCACTTATAATCCTGATATACAAGCAAATAACATAGCTGTTACCATTTTACAATGTGTTTTTACATACAAATATGAGAAGCTACTACATTTTTTTAAAAAGGTTTTTGCCATAGAGTGTGTGTGCTCATCAGAGAGACAGAGAGGGGGGGAGAGAGAGAGAGACAGTCAGTGAGAGGGAAAGTGAGAAGTCATCCTCCATGGGGGATGGCCATGTTGCAATCTCTTCACCTCCATTCTCCTGAGATTTCAGGCACATGTGCACATGCACCTGGCATGATTTTCGAACCTCCAGATCTGGGACTCAAACTGCAGTTGGCCATGGGGGAGTCCAGCACCTTCACCACCATACTACCTGTTGGCTCCACTACATTATGTTTTGCAACTGATTTTTTCATTTAAAATATCTGTCAACCAGCTTTTATACCATGTGCTTCTACCACAAAGTTAGAAAATTATTAATGCCCGTACAGCATTCCATTATATTGATAATGGTAGTCCAAATCCTCATTATTGGACATTTAGGTTGCTTCCATTTTAAAAGATATTTTCACATTATCTTAAACATGTCCTTAAAATAAAGTCATAGTGACACAAAAATGGAAAATTATCTGCTGATGATAACATGTATAATAATACCTTTAATTGGACTAAAGCTGGGAAAATTCACCTTACAAGCTATAATGATACACAGTGATCAAATGTATAATAAATAAATAAATGAGGAAAAATAAATAAATAAACTCTTAGTGGTGCAGCCTCTGTGGCATAGCTGGGAGCCTACCAGACTGCAAGAGCTGGAGGCCATAGCCAACTGTGGTTCAAGTACCTGGTCTGGTCGATCTGAAAGCACACTAGGAGTTCATGCACGTGCCAAGGATCCTTATGGGCTAGAAGTGTGGAGGGAGGGGGCTGTGGAGTGACTGAGCCCTGTAAAGGATGCTCCTTGCTGTCTCTTGCATGCATACATGTGTGCTAATATGAATAAAATACACACCTACATATAAAATTCATAAAAACAGAATGTCTTGGTTACTACCCATGTGCAAGGCTTTGGATACTACTGAGACCAGAAAGGCTGGACACGCTGAGCCCCGTGACCTGCAAGGCATCTCTCTTGATGGGAACAGGTGTTTTAAGGAGAGAGGTCTGAGTGATGAATACTAGAGGTGGCCAATGTTCTAGCAGAGACTATTGGGTCTTGTCCTTGGGCTGTAGGGAGCCCTAGAATTGCCCCACCATTTACTGTCCTCAGTGATACCGGCAGGGGACAACAGCAGCCTAGATTCTGACTGACCTATCTCAACAGTTAAGACACTCTGGGGACTCGGATGATGACAGCAATCATAACCTATGGCCTAAAATAATGTCTCTTTCAATAAAAGGAGAAAGAAGTAGTTATTCAATTTCTTTCTGCAGCTCTCTCTACATATTTAAAAGTCTTTAGCATTTAATTTTTCTCTGTTCTGTAGACTTTACATACGCAGAAATCAATCTCGGGCTTATCGGAAATGTTTCTGTTTAGTCTCTTTAAAGTCCAAGCTTTTTCCACTGTGGCTGCTCACGGGTCCTTGAGTCCTCATTAACTCAATGTGGGAGCACAAGAGAGCTAAGCCCTAATGACGGACTGACTGATGTGGGTGCGAGGAAAGGTGACCTTTACTTGTAAACATTCATCGAATTTCACATCCTCCCAAATGTTAGCACCGCAGAGAGGCTGCTAGGATGCAGGCGCTGTGTCTGGCCTTATTAGAGCCAGGCTTTTGAAATGGTAATTAGCAACATCAACAGCACTTCATATCCATAAGCTGCAGGACCAATGCATGAAGGAGCAGGTAATTCAGAAACACACGTCCATAAAGTCAGCAATTTCCCTTCCTCATTAGAATGCATTTTTCTTTCTTATTAATAATAGACCAGAATAGCTCGGTTTCCTTATGCTGTCACATTAAAAAGCCAAACAAAGAAAAACACGATTTTAACATCCATTTTGCCATACGCTGGCAGGAGGGCATTCGTGTAACGGGCGTCCACTGTGATCTATACGTATGTACATCGTGCGATTTACATCCTCGCTAAGCGCACAGTACACGGCCAGGGCTACAAGACGGTCTCCGGTTTGCTAAGAACATGTTAAGAAAAGGATATGCCTCGATGGCACTGAGATACACCGATGTCAGAAGGAAACAGAAATGCCCTCGCTGAGAGCTGAAAACAAGGTATATACTTACAACTGTACGTATTTAAGGTGGCCTGAACAACACACGGGACAGTCCAGATTGCTCCTGACTGGGTCCCAGACTCAACTCTAGTTTATTCAAAAAGAACCTTGAAAATACATTTTACCATAAGACAAGTCGATATGCTTTTAGAGGACACTAAATTCAGGAACTGAGGTTTTAAGTGAAGGTTAATCAAGGGGCAGGGGGCTGCCAGTTAGCCAATCAAAGCCACATTTTATTGCCAACAGCACCCCAGAGACCTAACTGCACCTCACACAACCGAAGTGTATTAGCACTCCCAAACTGGCCAAGTGACAAGATACCAATGTATTCACTTAATATGAAAAAGCGTGGAATAATTCAGCACGTACTTCCAAAGTTGAGTTCGAAACCCGAATGACTGTTTAATACTGAAGGGTAGAAGGGGAGGGAGATAATCTGAGTTCTTCCAGAGAAATCCCTCACAGATCTTCCTTCCACAGACAACTTGGTTTCTGTTCCTCTAGAGAAAGGGAATCACAACTACCATTGGGAAATTCGGTCCAACTAAGGGCAATGTGAGGAATAAGGGCTTCAGCTTTTTCATGTCCAATGAGTTTTTAAAAATTCTTTAGGGCCAGCAGGTGGCATGGTGGTTAAAGCACTGGACTTCCACGTGGATGATGCAGTTTGAGCCCTGGACCTGGAAGCTTGAAAAATCATGCCAGGTGCATGTGCATATGTGTCCAAAATCCCAAGGAGAGAATGGAAGAGAAGGGACTGTGGAATGGCCATTCCCCTAGGGGGGTTGATTTCTCACTTTCATACTTTCTCTCTCTCTGTCTCTCTCCAGTGAGTGTATGTGCCCTATAGCAAAAACCTATAGGAAAAAAACCTCTCCAAAAAAAAAAAATCTTTAAACTCAATACTCGCACCATCTGGGAGGCCTGGGTTCATATCCAGGGTCAAACCCTCCCTCCATCTCTCACTCATGAAAGAAATAAAATACATGTTAAAATGTAACTTAAATGCGATTCTTCTACTCTATGACATTTAAAATGGCAATGGAACTGGTCAGGGGATTGTCCCTTTTCTCAAGTACCACCTATAAGTGAACATTTTAATCCTGTGTGTTTCTTTTGTTAAAATCCTATATATTTCTTGATACTAAAATATTTATCACTCTCCAGAGAATAGTAAAGCCACAGAGAAGACAAGACCCTTATATCTCCTCCTGCAGAGGGGCTAGGGTTGGGAATAGTTATCCCAGTACAGTCTCAAAACTAGGAAAATACAGGGAAAATAGCTCAGGCCTCAACATGCAAGTAAGTTATAAGAATCTACTGGGTTGCTGGAAAAGTCATGATGCATTTTTGCACAGAAAAATATGTCGTGACTTTCCCAACGATCCAATGTAAAAGGTCGAGAACAATTAGAAAGATGTGGATAGGTACAAAAGTGAAGAGAAAATGAGGCCAGTAGGTAGTGTGGCGATTAAGGAGCTGACTCCCACATGGCTGAACACGGTTCAAGTCCCAGACCTTTGGCCTGCTTTCTCACTTTCCCTCTCTCTTTGGTGAGTATGTGTGCGCTATAGCAAATTTTAAAAAACCAATAATAACAATAACAATAAATAAAATTAAATAATTATTTAAAAAAAAGTGAAGAGAAAAAAAACAGAGAAGGAAAACCTATACCCCTATAATTGCCATATAGTCGTTGATACAAAAGTATCTAATAATAGATGCATTCAAAGGAGTGAAAGGACAGACAGCTGAGGAAGCTTCATATGGCTTTATCCACTTGGTGCTTAGTGATATTACGAAAGGACCACTTTTGAAAAACCCATCTTCCAGGCTGGCCCATCGGTCTAGCGGGTAAGGAAGACATGGGCATGAATCCCAGCCCCCAGCTTCAGAAATACAGTGGGCACACAGAGCTGTATTCTTGGAACCTGAACGGGATGGAGAAACGAAGGAGAAAGGACTGTGGCATGACCACGCCCCGCTGGGAGGGCTTTCTCCCTCTCCCTTTGCTTGTCTCTCTGGAGAACATATATATCCTCTGGCAAATAAAAAAAAAAAAAAAAGAAATAATATACCAAGAATTTAAAAGAAAATTTCAACTGGAATTGACTAGCTGACTAGTGTTTAGATTCAGTTCATGAATTCAAACCACCCAAGAAGAATCATAGCTGTGAATCTGATTTTCACATAATAGTGATAGGAACCATGAGTTTGCTTGAGAAGATAATTTAAGTCCATGTCACTTTTGAGTTTTGATCAAGACTCAAAACCAAATAACAATAATTATAATCAAGTCATCTAAACTTGTATCACGGTGAAAATATTTGCTAAGCAGGTCAGAAATCCTCGCTATTTGTGCCAAGCAGGAGAACCTACTGCCTTAAGAGGGAAGCAGGACAGGAGATAAATGCAAAGAAAGGAAGGAAGGAAAGGACAGACAGACAGAAGAGCCCTAATACTTTCCCCAAATGCCATGATAGGACCTATCAAGATATGATGCATTAATACAGGGTTCTATTATTTCCTTTCTTCCACCTTGCTTCCTGCAGCTTTTTAAAAACATATAGCTCAAAATATATTTTAAAATGTACAGGCCAGGCCTGGTGTTTAAGGTGGCTGAATCCCACATAGCCAACTGCACGGTTCAAGTCTTGGACTCAGTGGGCTGAGAAGCATGCCAGGTGTGTGTGTGTGTGTGTGTGTGTGTGTGTGTGTGTGTCCAACATCCTGACAGGATGAAGAACTGGAAGAGAAGGGTTGTGGTGTCCCTATGCCCCAGAACAGGTACTTGTTTTCTTTTTCTTTCTCTCTCAGGTGGGTACCTGTATCCTCTGGCAAATTTTAAAAAGAGAAGAAAAAAAGAAGAAAGTAAGAATTACAAAAAAGAGTAAAAAAGAAATACGAATTAAGGAGGAGTGAGAGAACCATAGCAAATGAAATACAGTGTGAAGAGTTGAAAGATACACCTCAGGAAATATTCCAAATTTCTTATTTGAGAGCTGATGAGAGATTAGGCTATTCCTCAGGGCAATACAAAGAGAACAAAGTTGTTTTTTAAAAGATTTTTTTAAAAAAACTAAATATTAAGGAGGTAATTTATTCTTTCTGAAACTTTTAAGCACCAGTTAGGTACTAAGGACTACACTTAAGCTTGGCTTAGATGGTTTTGGAAGCCCATGTTTCCTCGAATCAAAAACATTTCATGGCTATGAGCTCATCTTTAGAGATGTTTCTGAGAGTATGTAGGAAAAGCATAGCTCTGAGCATCTGGCCGGCTTTGGAGAGTGAAGCCCATGCACTGTGAAGTCAGACCACTCAGCCTCAGATAAAATGGAGTGAGGGCCTGGGAGCCACTGAAGCTTGCTATGTTTCTGTGTCCTCAACAGAAAAAGAGGTGGCTCTAAAGCTTAAATGAGAATGAATACCCACTGGCTGCCAAAAGGAACATACTAATCACAGGCTTGGTTGAGGAGGGAGCAGTGGCCTCTTGGTGTAGTATACACGGAAGCTTGTACTTTCAGGGTTGGAATAGCAGAGGTATGCCAGGTACGAGTGTCATCAGATTCTAGGTTACTGAACTACCTTGAGAATCTCTGCAGGTGCATGTGCTCCTGCAGCTGCATCTGTTATCCAAGCACACACAGACACAGACAGGAAGAAAAGGGTTTGATACACTTTCACCTACCACTGACGGGAGTCCAGATTTTTCAGCTCTCTCAATAATTTTGAATTTTTCTTCAACAGATGAAAATTCTTCCTAAGAAAAAAAAAGAATAGGAGAAAAATCATGTGATCAAACCAGTTTTATTGCTTTCCAGTCAATGAGTTAACAAAGCTATCTATCATCCATTTATCTGTCACTTCCTTCACAAAAGGTCTGTGCCAGAAACTATAGAATGAACCCCACTCTCTTTCACACATGCTACTGTGTAGACATCCCACTGCATCCCACCACTGTCCAGTGACGGCTCTGTGATAATGAGTGTGAGACTCGTGTGCTGTCCCTGTCTCTTTTCACCATCTGCTTTGCTGTGTAGATCTTCTCCCTGCCTCTGTCCTTAGAAATTCCACTATCAGGCTCCAGCCAGATCCACCCCTTCCATATCCCATACTTCTCACTGGATTTAACGTTCCTCTTGGATTCCCATGCCACCCTGTCCTTTAGCAGAGCTGCAGCAAGTCATCCTCCCTCCTCAGACCTAAGGTTAGATGGTGGCTTATTCATCTTTGTGGTCCATTTGCATTTTGCAGGAATGTAGAAACAGTAATGCACAGACCAGTAATCAAGAAACACACACTCACACAGAAAATGCGGGAAACCCTTTACATTTCTTACAGGTGTTTGGAGTTGAACCTGTGCACCAGTACAATACAATTAGCTTCATTTCTAGCTTTCATTCAGCAGCAGGAAATGAGCTGTATAAGTTGAAATCTAGAAAAATCTCCTTCATTCTATTCTATCCTGTTCTATTCTACTCTATTCCCCAACTCTAAATTGGGGGGGGGGACCTGAAAACAATGACAAAATACAGTTCTGTACTCCATGACAATGTTTCAGGCAATAAAGGACTGTACATATGACAGTGGTCCCACAGGGGCAGCAGGCGACGCCATGCGGCCCAGATGTGGTTTCTGTACTGTGTCTACGATGCGTGTACAACGATAAGCTCATCTAACCATGCGTTTCTCAGGATGCACTCCTGCTATTAAGTGACACATGCCTGAAATTCAAGGACTAGCGTGAACTGTTACCTTCTGTCCCAAGAATTCATTCCCAGGTCATCAAGCAACAATCTGCAGAAATAAAAGGGTCCCCGGGGCTCCACGGGTGCAGGCTGCCCTTGGCTGCCGACCTTCGTCACAGAGTCAGCGCGACACCTCTGAACATACTCGTCTTCCTGAGCGTTCTGGCGCAAAATCGCCTCAATGATTTCCTTCTCCTGCTCACAGTTCATTCCACAGGGCGGTGGGGAAGGCTCATTTAGATTTAGCTGTGATGGTAAAAGGCATTCGGGGCTTGTGTGGCCAATGTTTTCAAGTAACTTGTCGAGGACATCATCTCCCTCCTCAGTTTGAGAGGAATCTTTCTGAGGCGCATATGTGTGCTGATGCCAGCCCGAGATCAGAAAGGAAGGAGTTCTCCCACTGGGTGCTAAGCCGCCTTCCAAAGGTCCATACAAAACCTTACCGTCCCAAGAGTACTTCCCTGAGATATCCCTCACAATCACCCTCACGTCGGAGAGGGCGCCCACCGCGGACCCGCCTGCTGGGCCATCGGTGGGCATTTGAAGGTAGGAGATGAGTGTGCTGTCATTGAACACGAACAGCTGCAGGTTTGGGCTCCGGAACACCTCGGAGGACAGCTCAGAGCCTTCTACATGGGCATTGTCATGGTTCTCACTGACCAGGCTGTGCAGCACGGCAGGGCCCCCGGCCAGGGGGTAGTGTCCCAGGTGGTTCACCAGGTGGGCCATCACCATGCGAGCTGTCAGGGGGATCAACTCCAGACTCCGCCTCTTCTTCTCTGTACACGGCAGTGAAGAAACATAAGAAGACAGTGGCGAGTGAAGGTTCAAATCAAACACCACTGGATGTGAGAATGAACTCAGAATGTTTTTTTTTTTTTTTTGGGGGGGGGGGTGGGGACTTTTTTTCCCTTTTTTTTTTTTTGGGTCTTGAACTTTTTTCACCTATGTCTTCTTTTGACACGAATACACCTTGCACTTCTTTTTTCTTTTTCTTTCTTTCTTTCTTTCTTTTTTTTTTTTTTTGAGAAACTTTTGGTATAGGGCGTGTGCGCTCGCCAGAAAGACAGAGAGAGACAGAGACAGAAAACAAGAAATCACGCCCAGCGCCCAGGAGGGGATGGCCATGCTGCACTCCTCCATTCTCATCTCAGGATCTTGGGCACGCACACACATGCGTCCAACATGAGTTTAAGCCACCGGGTCTGGGACTCAAACTCAATTACCTGAGAGTCCATCGACACAGCCATTATACCAACTGCTGGTGCCAATACATCTTGCATTTCAAAGCAGGATTTAAACAGGTTGCTAGAGGAACCTGATTACATGAAGATTTTATTCTGAGAGGGACATTTAAAAATCTGCAGATACAGTAATAAACAAGAGAAATGTCCCTGTCCTGAAGAGTATCCCATTCAGAGAGCTTGGCCAAGGATGAAATCCAGTCAGGGAGGGATGGTGGCTGAGGAGTGAACTGGGAGGTGACCTTGCTACCCTCCGTGGGGTAAAGGGAGCCCCGACAAGAAATGAACCGAGTTCGTGACTGCAGAAATAGCTTTGAAGCACTTGGCTTAATAATCTTTGTGACAATTTATCGTTGTTAGGCGTTTTAAATATTTAAGAGAATCTGACACATTAATAAATCATGAAAGTACTTAGAAGGCTTTAACTAAATTTGGAATTGATGATGAAACACCCAAGAGCAAGTGATTAACAACATTTGTAAGACGTAGAAAGTATGGTGAGCTACTGTCCACAGTATATGTAAGTGGGCCGACAAGAAACAGGAGAGGCCAGTAGGCTAAAGCCACTAGCACCTGGTTGAAATGACTAGGATGAGTAACCAGCAGTTAGCATAATGGCTATGTCACTGGACTCCCACGTAGTCGACCACGGTTCACATCCCGGACCGGGTGGCTTAAAACTCATGCCAGGTACGTGTGCGTGCGTGCCCAAGATCCCGAGAGGAGAATGGAGGAGAAGGGATTGCAGCGTGACCATCCCCCCTGGGGGGTGATTTCTCGCTTTCTGTCTCTATGTCTCTCTCTGTCTGTCTGGTGAGTGCATGCGCTCTATAGCGAAAAACCTCTCCAAAAAAAAAAAAGAAATGACTAGGCTTGAGAGCAGCTAGAAATTCTAACTGCCAAATTTACAAAAGCATTGTGCATTAATTTAAGATCAAGTAGAAATGAAACCTTTCAAATTTAACTAACAAAAAATATTTAAATCTACAATTTATAAGTTCAGTTTAATGCTTTATAAAATACTTGATTTCTTAATTCACAATATGAAAAAACAAGCATTAATTAAAACATAAATAACTATAAATATGCCTTTTTTCTTTTTTAACTTGCCAGAGGGCATGTGTGCTCACCAGAGAAAGACACTGAGTGTGTGTGTGGGGGAAGCAACCCCCATGGGGCGTGATCATGTCACAATTTCTTCTCCATCTCTCCCTTCCCTCAGGATTCTGGACACGCATTCACACACACCCGGTGTGTTTGCACCCAGTTATCTTGCTAGTGAATTTAAAAACTGCTTTGTTATAGAAATTAAAGCAGTTATTTTCAGTACTGTAGGACTATGTTGGGAAACTTTACATAAGGTCCTCAAGTTTTCTGGAGAATGAAAATTCAAGGCAAAGAATGTTCTACATTGAAAGAAAAAAGATGGTACAAAATTTAAATATGCATTTTTAGGTTTTTACGTTTCACTAACCTATTAACTTGTTACTTAAATGACAAGTCAGAGTCCATGGTGAACCTCCTTTAGGGATAGCAATGTGGGATGAGTATAAATTCATGACTTTAGAAAAAAAGGAAGTCAATTTCCTATACAACATGGTCTGCAAGATGGGAAACAACAAAATAAACAGATCAGGAGTTACTTCAATTACTTAATAAAAATATGGTTTGAATTTGTCATTGTGCAGGGAAAAGCCAAGAAGATAATGCAGCCAAGAGGGGAACTCCAGAAAAAGACAGTTAAATCATTAGTAAATGGACTACAATTTACTAATCTCCCATTCGACATCAAAACTAGAGGCTTTGTTCTACTCTACGGCAAAATCTCAGAGTAAATAATGTATTTGAGCAACTAGGCCATTAAATCTTAGTGGATAATACAGAAAGGTCTCACACTCTTCACCTCCGGGAAACATCCTGCTTACCTGTAACAGCATCACATCAGGGAACTGATGTTGACACACCCACCAATACCCTTCGCACACCCACCAATACCATTCGGCATCACAGATTTCAGGGAACTGATGTTGACACACCCACCAATACCATTTGGCATCACAGATTTCAGGGAACTGATGTTGACACACCCACCAATACCATTCGGCATCACAGATTTCAGGGAACTGATGTTGACACACCCACCAATACCATTCGGCATCACAGATTTCAGGGAACTGATGTTGACACACCCACCAATACCATTCGGCATCACAGATTTCAGGGAACTGATGTTGACACACCCACCAATACCATTTGGCATCACAGATTTCAGGGAACTGATGTTGACACACCCACCAATACCATTCGGCATCACAGATTTCAGGGAACTGATGTTGACACACCCACCAATACCATTCGGCATCATAGATGTGCATGTGCATATCTGTGGCTGTGTGGATCTATGCAGTTTTACCCCATGTCTAGATGACACATCCATATCCCGACTCACATTCCAAGGCCCAGAACTGGGGCGTCTCATTTTGAGGGGTGAGATGAGATCAAGGAGGAAATATGGCAGGCCCTGACTCCTGACACCCCCATGTATTCTAAGATGAGCTCTCTGCTAGGAGCAGAGCAACTGTCCGTCTGTCCCGGTAAATTCCCATCTCTGTGATGCCTTCCCAGCATCTGAGAGCTCCACTCAAAGCCTGCCCATCCCACTAGGTCCAGTGTAAGAACTTGTCCACGGGAAGCTGTCACGGTGCTCCTGGTCTACACATGAATCCTGGACTTGTTTCTCCCTTTACAAGGTAAGCTCTTTGGGAATAGAAAGGGAGCCTTTTCCTGAGTCCCACGGGCCTGAGACACATAGGTCCTTGATAATACAAAAACATTTTGAATAAGATGAAAAAAAGAGAGAAAAAGAAAGGAAAGAAAGAAGAAACATGGAAAGCAGAATGTGCTATCACAGAGAGCTCTAGGAACCAGGACCTCAAATTCAACAATTAGAATCTTAAAAAATACCACAGCAAGCATGGACAAGGCTATAGTCTTTCCTTTTCCTGCCCAAGATTTTATAACGGGAAGAATACTCACCCTCCTCCACAGTCAGCAGGTTACCCAACTCTGCTGACGAGTGGTACTGGACTGGCTCAGAACTCCTCACGTTTGCCAGTGGCAGGAAGGGGTCATAATCCGTGGATGACAAGTCAGCCAGGGTCAGCGTGTAGTGGCTCTGCTGTGTGTACGTGCTCGAGCCACAAACACAGCAGTGCAGCACCTGTGAACAACAGAAGGCAACGTGCACTTGGCCACCCCCACCACCTGCCCCCAACGACGTGTCATACCGTCCCACACTCAGAAGCATGGACTCCTGCTTGGTGACACTAGGGAAGCATCAAATCTTCCTGTCCTTAAACATCTTCTTTCTATTAGTGAGTTTATTCTGTATCTTTCCTATCAATGCCCGTAAATGTATCTCAAGGCAAAAGGAGAGCAAAAATGAAAAAATACTTATTGCACTACTTTGTAACTGCACACACCTACCTTGTCCTCCAGCCCAACGGAAGGAACCACATCAGGAGAGGAGTGGCTGTGCGGGAAGCTCCCCATGGAGGACGGGAGGATGCAGTGAGCAGAGACCATTCAAAACCGTGCACCAGTTTAAATGAGTATAACTCACAGCCCCATGAATTGTAAGGGTCCATTTAATACAAATTTGAAAGTACAACTTAACAAAAGTAAAATTAATGCAGAGCTTTAAATTGTTCTTCTTTTCACAAGATTAGCATCCTAAAAGTGCCAACTGTTTACAGATGATGTCAACTGAAACCCCGTTTACTCATTTACACATTTGTGCACATACGAGGGGGTCTTCAAAAAGTTCATGAAAAATGTGCATTATGCAAAAACTACGCACTGATTTCAAAATTATTTTGCGCCAAAATAAACTTGGACTGACTTGTAATAACATGTCTGAACAGGATCTGGTTTGTGGCAGTAAGAGAAATAAAACACTGGTTTGAAAAGAGCCCCTATCAGAGCAACATGAAGTCTGATAAAAGTGAAGTAAAAATAAACATCAATTATATGGTGAAGCCAGGGTGAGAGAACAGCTAAATCACTGTTACTTTATGAAAAGTCTATAGGGAAAAAAGCCCCAAACAACAGAGAGCTTGCAAATAGATGATGTGTTTTAAGAAGAGACAAGACAACATGGAAGGCGATGCCTGCACTGGCAACTCGTCTGCATCAATTTGCAAGGAAAAAAAATTCATCTTATCCGTGCCCTAACTGAAGAAGACCAACAATTAACAGCAGGAACACAGACATCTCCATTGTTTCAGCTTACACAATTCTTTATTTTTAAATTTTCTTCTTCTTTTTTTTAATACAGCTGATCACTATGCATCACTTGGCCAGCTTACACAACTCTGACTGAAAAATTAAAGTGAAGCAAACTCTCTCTCAATGGCAGCCCAAACTGTAATCCCAGATCAGCTGCAGACAGGAGAGGAGCCTCTAATGGAAACTGTAAACAGGTAGGATCAAGCTCCTGCAGCATTTCTTCACGGGAGACACCTGGCTTTACCAGTAGGTTCCTGAAGACAATGTCAGGGCAACAGCTCCCGGGGGAGACAGTGGTCCAGTCAGAGCAAAAGCAGACTGGGTAGGAGCAAAGGGCATGGCTTCATTTGGGGATGCTCAGGCATTTTGTGTGTTGACTTTCTAAGGGGCCAAAAGGCAATAACATCTGCTTAGTATGAGAGTCTTTTAAGAAAATTAGTGGAAGCTTTAGCAGAAAAATGTCCAGGAAGAGTCCTCTCCCACAACAATGCTCCTGCTCATCCTTCTTGCCAAACAAGGGCAGTTGGCAAGACTTTCAACAGGAAGCATTAGGCCTCCACCTGACAGTCCTAATTTGGCTCTTTTGACTTCTTCCTATTTTGTAATCTTAAAATCAAAAACAAACTTAAATGGGTACTCATTTCTCTTCAGTGAATGATGTAAAATGGTGCACTGACATATATTAAAAGTCTCAGCTTCCTTAGTCCTTTAGGGATGGACTGAATGGCTGCTATCATCACTTACCAAAGTGTCTTGAAGTTGATGGGAGTTACATTGAGAAATAAAATTTATATTTCTCATTTTTTTTGGAGAGGTTTTTGCTATAGGGCGTGTGCGCTCGCCAGAAAGACAGAGAGAGACAGAGACAGAAAGCGAGAAATCACTCCCCAGGTGGGGATAGCCATGCCGCAATCCCTTCTCCTCCATTCTCCTCTCGGGATCTTGGGCATGTACGCATACGTGCCCGGCATGAGTTTAAGCCACCAGGTCCGGAACTCGAATCGCGATTGACTACAGGGAGTTCAGCAACATAGCCATTACGCCAACTGCTGGTCCCTATATTTCTCGTTTTTAAAACTGTGGGGTTTTTCAGACACTAGGAATGATCTCTTTCCAGATCAGGACTCGTTTTACAGGTGTCAAATTTATCAAGCTCTTAGTTATGGTTGATGCAGGTTTTGAAAACATACTATTCTTCAATTACAAGCATACTTTAAAAATACAATAAAGAGTTTTTCAATACATTTAAACATCATGTTTATTATGAGGTGACTTTTATATTGGTCAAAATGATCTTTTAATTCCATTTTTTCCACTAAAGTTTTGAGGTCACCTCACACAAGCCATGCAAGCAAAAATCATCATCAATATACCAAAATATGTGAGTAATAATTGTAGTAAACTTAAAATAATTATTTATTTAATTTTACTGATTTGGGGGCCAACAGATAGAGTAGCAATTATGTCACTGGACTCCTGTATGACTGACCATGGTTCGAGTCCCAGACCTGGTGGCCTGAAAATCATGCTAGGCGCACGTGTGTGTGCATCCAAGATCCAGGAGGAGAATGCGAGAGAGGGGATTGTGGCATGGCCATTCTCCCTGGGGGGTGATTTCTCACTTTCCCTCTTACTATCTCTGTCTGTCTCTCCAGGTAGTACATGCACCTTAAGGCAAAAACCTCTTTTTTTTTTTAAAAAAAAAAAAAAAGAATTTTATTTATTATTATTTTTAAATTTACTATAAGACACGTATGCTCACCAGAGAAAGGGAAGTATGAACGCAAGCTGCTAGGTCCAGGACTTGAACTATGGTCAATCATGTGGGAGTCTAGCATCTTAATCACTATGCCACCTGCTGGCCCCAAGACCATGAATTAAAATAATAATAATAATACTAGAATAGAGGTAGTATTTTAGAAACTAAGGAAACATCTTTGGTTTAAATATATTCATATGGAGTATAAGACATTCACTTCAGGTGACCAGCTTTGGTTTGTGCACATGGCAAGAGGCTTTGTGGTCAGGTGCCCTTTGGACATGGTTAAAAGGTACCAAGGACTGTAGCCAACAGGAAGCAGCTGCCTGTTTATGTCCTCTCACTAGGAAAAAAATCAGTATAGGAAAATTCTTATGGGGGTTCCTTATTAATGTAGTAATTGAACTTCTGTAGTTTAATATACTTATGCATTATATTTTTTTAGAGACATTTTTGTTATAGAGTGTGTGTGTTTGCTGGAGAGACAGAGAGACAGAAAGTGAGAAATCTCCCGCCAGGGGGATGGTCATGCCACATGGTCTCCTCCGTTCTCCTCTTGGGATTTTGGGCATTCGTGCACATGTGGTTGGCATGAGTCTAAGCCACTGGGTCTGGGACTTGAACCATGGTTGGTTACGTGGAAGTTCAGTGATGTAACCATTATGACATCTGCTGAACACAAAACTTTAATATATTTAAAACAAGGCAAAAAAGTATGAGTTCATAACTTAGAGTCCTTACTACTATTAAAGACGTGTTTCGGGACCAGCAGTTAGTGTAATGGTTATGTCACTGGACTCCCACGTAGTCAACCACGGTTTGAGTCCTGGACCTGGTGACTTAAACTCATGCTGGGCGCGTGTGCGTGCATGCCCAAGATGCTGAGAGGAGAATGGAGGAGAAGGGATTGCGGTGTGGCCATCCCCCCTGGGGGCTGATTTCTTGCTTTCTATTTCTCTTTCTGGCAAGTGCACACGCCCTACAGCAAAAACCTCTCAAAAAAAAAAAGACATGTTTCAAAAAATTAAATAATAGAGCCAGCCAGGTGGCAGGCATGGTAGCAAAGGTGGCATGATCCCACAGGGTGGACTGCATGATTTTGAGTCCCAGACCCAGCAGCTTGAATAACATGCTGGGTCCTTGTGCGTACCTGCCCAAAATTCCAAAAGGAGAAAGAAGGAGAAAGGATTGCAGCATGCCCATTCCCCCTTGGAGAGTGATTTCTCACTTTCCCTCTCTTTCTCTGTCTGTCTCTCTCCGGTGAGTGCACGTGCCCTACAGCAAAAACTAAAACAAACAAAAACTAAACAACAGAATTTCTTCACATAGTAGTAATTATTCAATGGACATGCAAATGCCAAATGAACAAGGTTTTTTGAAAACAAGACTGTTGAGGCCAATCACAGAAGGGTATTACAAATGGTCCTGAGCAAATGCCACACCCAGTCACCGGGAGAGGGTGTCAGTACGCATACTATGAAAATGAGGGTCTCAATACTTTGATATGATATACATCCTTAATTTATTTCTTAAGATTTTTTTAAAGGCAAAGAGATTCTTGGGACCATTACGCATTTTTCTTTGATCAAGAGATTTTTTTTTCTGGTCAAGAAAATGCTGTGGATATTCCTACAATATAAATAATTCCTTCTTTTTATTAAAAAAAAAGGTACTGAGTTTTTTCATGACAGAGAGAGGAAAGCTAGTGGGAATATCCTAAATGGGGCCTTTGTGCCACGATTTACTCCCAATCTAGCCAGCCAGGATCACAGGTGTGCACACCCCAGGCATATAAGAAACCATCAGCACATGAGCCCGAGGCTTCCTGTGGGGCTTCCACATGGTAGAGTGTGGCACTACTGCTGCACCACCACAGCTGGCCTGAACAGTTCTTTCTTAAATTACAAACACACACATTATGGTCCCTGGAAATGGGCGAGTCTGACCAACCTACACTTGTTTAAAGACAGAAGCTGAGCATCATGTAAAAAGGCATGAGTCTATCACTGGGTCACCACTACTTCTGCATAATTAGGAGGCATATTTGAAAGTTCTTAGAAAATGCATTTTATGCATGGATTTGAAATTTTTTTTGCACCAAAATAAACTTGTACTTAAAACAATTTTTTTTTTGCCAGAGTCTGCATGCACTTGCTCAAGAAAGAGAGAGAGAGAGAGAGAGAGAGAGAGATAACTCCTCTGCCTCAATGGGGCATGGTCATACAACAATCCCCTTCTCCTCCATTTCTCCCTCTTTTGGAGATTTTGAGCGCCCGCACATGCACATGCACTGGTGTGCTTCTCAAACTACTGGGTTTGGCTCTTGAATCACAGCATTGGCCAAGTAGATCCAGCTGCATTAACTGGCAGGCCACAGGTTGACCCGATATTTGTACTTTATGTCCATTTTCCCATGATCTCCTTGAAGTACCTTCATGTGTCTGTTCTGCTTTTACTCCTGAAGTTATTCATTTATTTTTAACTATGGAACCCAGCATAAATCCTTTTCAAAAGGGCAGAAATAGATTAAATTAGCATTTTTCGGTAGTTCTCTGCCACAAAAGTGGCACCCTCCATGCTGAGGCCCAGGTGCAGACTCACCCTGTAGATGTGATCCAGCAAGGGGGCTCGGGACAAGGGCTGCTCCTCCAGGACCGCCGTGGAGACCGGGTGGAGAAGGGCGTTCACTGGCAGCGCCATGCACCAGTCCAAGAGGCAGAGGAGCAAGGACACGATAAACTGGAAGAGGAAACACGGCCAGGTCCTTAGACTGCAGTCTCTTAAACCTCACTGCACATAATAATCAGCCTCACCTATAGTAATTATTCAATGGAGACACGAAAGCCAGGTAGATAATACTGGAGGATATTATAAAATATATTATCACTACTTATAATATTATAGTATTTATAATTCTGTATAACATTAAAACAACCAGGGAAAACTCAGCTAACGTGCCAACCTACCTTCTTATCTGTCTCCACTGAGGAATATTCTGCACTTGGTAAAAGAAAAGCAATCGTGGCGACCAGGATCTACACAAAAGAGAAATCCCCAATCAAACAGATCACAGTAACAGTTTCAGAAGTCATGTGCAAACCGTCCCAAGCCAGCCTGGCAACTCGACCCAGCTTCGTGCCAACTCACAGAGGAAACAATGAAAATCTGAGAAGGGCTAGTTGTGTGTGTAATATAGAGGTCAGACGGCCCTGGGGCCATACCCTACTGGTAGGGAAATCAGGGGGCCCCAGGGAAAGGAGTATTTCTCTCTGTAGTCATGTAATTTCCACCATTGGTCCTACAACTTTTCACAGTGAAGTAAGAAAAATACTTTTTACAATGGTTATAAAAATGTAGGGACCAGCAGTTAGCGTAATGGCTATGTAGCTGGACTCCCATGTAGTCTACAGCAGTTCAAGTCCCGGAGCACAAAGCTTAAACTCACACCGGGCATGCGTGCATGCATGTCCAAGATCCCAAGAGGAGAATGGAGGAGAAGGGATTACAGTGTGGCCATCCCCTCTGGGGGCTGATTTCTCGCTTTCTGTCTCTCTGTCTCTCTCTGCCTTTCTGGAGAGCACACATACCCTATAGCAAAAACCTCTCAAAAAAAAAAAAGTAGTTACAAAAATGTGTCTGCTTAACTTTCTTATGAACCCCTCCACCTGCTATCGTGGTGTGACAGCACCCCTCTCATTCTCAATTAGGTGATGCATTTCATGATCGCCCTAAAACCTGGCTTTATATTTTACGGTGTCTATATTCCTACATCCAAAACTCTACTTCACTCTAGGCCACTTAAAGTCAAAAATCATTGTGACTTCTGATGTGTCTCTGAGAGAACAAAGCGATCTCACCAGTGAAATCTGTCTAAGGTTGAGAGAAAGTAAATCAATATCGTCTCTCTCTCTCCCTGTGATACCTCACAGGGACAAATCGAGTTTTCTCGAACAGTTACCAGTGGATGTGTAAAGAACAGGGCAGGTTTTTAAAAACGCAGTTATAGAAATGGGCAGGAGTGGATGTGCCCCACTGTCAAGACACCCAGTGGCATGAGGGAGCCTGCTCGTGTCTAAGCAAGGCACCCAGACATAACCGACTCCGGGTATTACTGCGATGATGCTTATCCCTCTGTCCCTCTCTGCCACAGGTCCGCCCACAGAAGTTATCGCAGTGGAAATCTCATCACAGCTGAGTAACCACGCTTTGGCAGAAAGTGTGGCCCAGGGCTCTGTTCTGGGAGAGACTCCTGTTTTACGCACAGCTGCCCCCTCCACCCCTGCACGGAAGGCATGATAACCAGCTGCCTACTCCTTGTTGGCACCATCCAAATTGCTCTCGATGAATGAAGCCCAGTCTACAAAAGGTCTCTTTGTTGTGGTCGTGTCTGCCTTTCAAACTGCCCCAGTAGAAGCCTCTGCCCTGGAACACTGCTGGCTGTAGGCAGAGCCCAAATCCCGGCTGAGAAGGACGAGTCCAATGTAACCTTAAGAAGAGTGACTCATGGCAATTTAATAGCTCTCTAACAATGACTAGAGTATTTACAATTAATTACATATCAAATATAATGAAAAAGAAATATTCATGTTTAGGCATTACACAAAAAAAGACTGAATGGGCAGCCAGTGAGTGGTAGTTACAGCAGCTGGATCCCACAGAGGCAACTGTGAGGTTTGAGTCCCTGGACCTGGCAGCTTGAAAAACACGCCAGGCATGTGTGTGCACATCCAAAATCCGGAAAGGAGAAATGGAGGAGAAGGGACTGTGGCATGGCCATTCCCTGAGGGATGATTTTTTTTCTCTCTCCATCTCCATCCTTCTTTGGCAAGCACAAGTGCCCTCTAGCAAATTAAAAAAATAAATTCAAATTAAAGTAACTTACTTTTGGACCCAGCAGGTGACATGGTGATTAAGGCCCTGGACTCTCACATGGTCAACCATGATACGAATCTGGGACCCAGTAGCTTGAAATTAACGTAGGGCACATGTGTGTGCATGCCAAAAACCCCAGGAGGAGAATGGAGAAGAGGCTGTGGTGTAGTCATCCCCCCAGGGGGTGATTTCTCACTCTCCCTCTCTGTCTCTCTCTGGCAAGTACACGCACCTTATGGCAAAAATCTAAAAATAAATAAATAAGCAAGCAAGCAAACAAGTAAGTAAATAAATAAACAGTAATAATAATAATAGAAAGGACTTACTTCTGCCATTTTCCGAGGCAGAGAGGTCTCAAATGACTGCAGCTTCTCCCAGTAGGAAACCAGCAACTGAAGAACATCACAAGCTACCTGGGCCACGACTTTGTTAGGAAACTAGAAAAGGAAACACAATTTCAAAGTGAACACACAACCTATTAAGTACATTATTCTTAAGGAAGAACAAAAAAGCTATTTCTTCCCAATTCCATAAGATTACATTTGTTTGTTTGGCATTAAATTGATAAAAATACATCCTACATCCAGAGGTGACACACAAATTCACAATTCTGAAAGTGCCTTGAGTGTAGCCTCCCAGTATTAATTTTAAAACATTCTATAGTCACTGTCCTTTAATCGCTGGGAAATTAAAGCCATAATTTCGAACTCCTCATTCGGTTCCCATAAATCATATTTTTCCTAAATGGAGGAAATTGAAATATAGGACATTATTGAGCATCCCCTGTGTGCTAAACCCTTCACAAGAATTTCACTTATTCTCTCATCACTCAGTCTCCACTGGCAGCTCTGTGAGGTAGATGCTACCTTCATCTTACACATGGAGAAACAGGGACTGATTCAATGCCTTTCTATCCTCTGAAATGAAACTTCACTCATACATGTAACAAACCAAGAAGTATGTAAAGTCAGAGGCTGTGAAAGCATAACTCTCACACGGTCTGTTCAATTACTGTATGTTTTCTGAGGCTGGAGCCTCTCAGATCACTGCTTCTGGATGCTTCCATTTCTTGTGAGATGGGGTGCCAAAGGGGCAGCACCTGCAAGCTCTTACTTTTTTATGCAGCAGGTGGTTGAGAGGGATGAGGACACTGTGTGCTTCTCTGCTGGCTAGAACCTGGGCCTACACCACTAGCCATACTCATCTAGAGCAGAAGGGTTGGTTGCTGATCCTGTGTCCCTGGGGCCAGACTGGGGCTGCAATCCCACGCAGGGGGCTCAAGTGAGCTGGGAGTGAGCAGTGAGGGATGGGCTTACAGGCAGCAGGAGGAGGGGGGCACAGGTGATCAGGAGGCACACCCAGTAGAACTAGGGAAGTGGAGATGGTGGGGCTAGGAAGAGTCAACAATGCCTTGAAAGACGGTGGGAGGGGGAGCAGCAGGTGGGGCTGGAGGACCACTGGCTCTGGGAGGGGGCGGGGGCATGGCCAGGTAGAGGCACTCCCGAGCCGTGGCCTGCCTCCTCCATACAGGATGCCAAGAGTTTGTGAGTATGGTGATGGCTTAGAGATGGTCCTTCCACACATACCTGCCCTCCATCCTCTATCCTCCCAAGAAACAACCAACTGCAGAGTGGCATTCCCTTGGCATTCCCTGGGGCAGTCTGGCTCCTTGCTTCCATCCACTGTTTGGGACCACAGGCAAGTTGTCCTCAATACCCTTGGGAAACCTCTCCAGCCCAGGCTGGCAGTGCTCCTCCCACATCTACCAGGGCACCAGGGTCACCCCTGCAGGGTGTTTCAGAAGGGCTGAGGGACAAACAAGATGGTGTCTGGAGCTGTGTGGGGCCTGATGGGCAGGAAGCCCTCAAATACTCAGCTCTTGGCTGCTAGAGTGGGTCCTTTGGCCACGCTGCTGCTGCCTCCTCCATTCCTCTCCCTCCTGGCAGAGCTCAGAGCCTTCCCGAGGCCCTGCTTCTCAAAGTGGTTGCTGTTGTCTTTACTCCTGTGGCAACTCCTCCCCTTCTAGTTCTCAGTTCTTCTTAGGGTCCTGCCCGTGACACTGCATCACAGAGAGGCAGAGGACGAGGGACGAAGGAAGGAGGTGTGTCAGGCTCAGGACTCAGGTCAGTGAGTTTCCACTGTTCCTGACAGTGGTGAACAGGAGACCAACCCGGCTGCATCCTGGCCTCGGGTTTCTTGGCATTCAAGCTGGAGCCAGTCCCCTGACCTGCCTTGCACACCTTCTCTGTTTCTAGGATGGGACAGCAGTGTCTGTGTAGTCGGGGAGGGCTGAGTGGGACAGGCCACGTAGTGTGCTGGACAGGACCTGACAAACAGCAAGGCTCACACCTGGTAATTATGTACATTTTCCCTGGCACCTTATGCTTTTCCTCATAATTATTAAAAACAATGTGGAAATTTTTGAAAATTTGTAGAAATATGAAGACTCTATCTTTCCCTCTACTCTGCTACACATTTTCTATCTATCTTCTGTACTATGTAGAAAGGTGAGGGGTCTTCATATTTGTGGAAAATGCATACTATGAAAAAATTCTGCACAGATTGTAAGTTTCCTGCACCAAAACAAGCTTATACTTTAATTACGTTTTCTCATAAACAGTTTGAGGTCTCCTTGTCTTACATATGGTCTTCAATCTAAGACACCATCAACTTATTAACACTTTTCCAGATAAGGAATAGAGGTGGGGGAACCCCCTGACATAAATATACACATGTAGATTTAATACAAACTAGAATTTCAGAAACAGATCTTAGAATTGAGAAAAGGTGCCTAAGGACTCCCACATGGCCAACTCCGTGGTTCAAGTCCCAGACCCAGTGGTTTGAAAGACACGCTGGGTGTGAGTGCATGCATGCTCAAAATCCCTAGAGGAGAATGGAGGAGAAGGGAATGCAGTGTGGCCATTCCCCTCAGGGAGTGATTTCTCACTTTCCCTCTCTGTCTCTCTCCAGTGAGTGCACACACCCTATGGCAAAACTGAGAAAATAGGGTCTTTAAAAAATTAATGGGGATCCACACAGATTCCTGAGTTGTATAACAGAGGTGGCAGTGATGCTCCAGCCCAGAGGGTGCTTCTAAGGGTTAAACGTGATGATGGAGGTTGGGCGTCAGCACCCTGCTCAGGCAGAGAGAACATTCTTTAGGGAAATCTTGGTTCAAATGTCGTCCCGGTCTTCATCACAGGGATCAGCTGCAAGTGCCCTCCCAGTTCCCGGTGTGTAACTGGCATCCCTACCCCCAGGTGCTGTGGAGGAGGGGCGGGGAGGATGAGAGTCGGGCAGGCGGGGCCAGGTCGCAGAGCTGGGCTCAGGCAGAAGTGCACAGGGTGGTCAGGGCTGCCACGGGCCTAATAATGACCTCTGCAGGCCTTGGCTGTAACTGCTGTGGCTGAAGCAGGCGGCAGAGAAGGGCGGGCAAGGGGAGCCTATAGCTGGTATCTGATTCGTGGCCCAGGGCTGGAACTTGCACTCAGCCAGATGGTGGAGAGCCCTGGATGAGTTCCCTCACTATCCTGCATCTCAGATCCTCTACTGTTAACACGGGGACCCTTCACAGTGAGAACTTCCACAAGAACCTCGGCGCGCTGCCTGGCAGACCCCAGGCCTTTGCTGCCTCTGGACACGTGATAATGTCAATGCTAGCTACTACTGCCATTTCTTTCTTTTTCTTTTTTTTTTAAAGCATTTTTATTTTATTTGTGGGAGAGAGAGAAACAGAGATAGAGAGACAGATAAACCAACAAGGTTTTTGTTGTTGTTGTCATCGTTGTTGTTTAGGTTTTTGCCATAGGACACGTGTGCTCACTGGAGAGGAAAGAGACAGTGAGAGGGAAAGTGAGAAATCACCCTCAAGGGGGAATGGTCATGTCACAATCCCTTCTCCTCCATTCTCCTCTTGAGATTTTGGGCACGCACACATATGTGCCTGGAGTGAGTTTGAACCAGGTCCAGGACTCAAACCACGGTCATATATGTGGGAGTCCACTATGCCACCTGTTGTCCCCCCACAAGGTTTCTATGCTCCACCCCCAACCTCAGCCAGCCAGTCAGAGGCACACAGGTGTGAACAGGTGCACTGAGATGTGAAACCAAGACCTTCCCATGTAGGTTCGGCCTGAAGCTGGACTGACCGCTGCTATCTCTAAGCAGCAGCCATAGAAGGGCCTGGCAGGATCTGAGCTCTGGTCTGGGAAGCAGCCTCACAGCACATGTGAAAGGCTGTTATGTCTTTCGTGCCACACAGATCTACTTGTGCCATCACCCATGCCTGTGTGGCCTCGGCTTGTGGCCTAATTCTCTGGAGCTTGACTTCCTCTGCTATAAAGCAGGGATCAGAACGCCTGTCTTGCAGAGCTGTCGTGAAGTTGAACCAAAGTCCTGAGAGAATTTACCATTAACCTGGCCCAATGTGAGTGCCCAGTAAATGGCAGATCTTCTCACTAACAAAGCAAAGAATGGAAGACGCCCTGTATGTGTCCAAGGATCTGCTGGTGAGGGAACACTCAGGGCCCCTAACTGGGAACTGTGGAAGTCTGCTGAAGAAGCCAGGGCATGAAATCCCACTTTCTTGTCACCCCTACTGACAGATGACAGGTGTGTTCTTTGCCACAGGGGCTGCCCAGACACCACAGGAACTTTATTTGGCCACTGGGCTTGGTCAGGCTCTCAATGGCGCTTGCAGCTGCCCATGGGTAAGTAGTCACTGGGGGCCTCGCCTGAGAACCATGTCGCGCACTCATGGCTCTCGAAGAGCTGCTTTGAATCACAGCTCTCTAACGTGGAGGGAAATGCGAGCAGGGCTAAATCACGGTGACGGGGTAAATGCCTGAGCTGGGGCTTACATATACCTTCAGAGTCGCACCTATCACATTGACGGCCTCTTTCACCTGAGGGTGGCTCGTACACTGCGCAAGCTCTTCACATATCCAGACGCCCAGGGAGCAAATGGCAATGCATCTTTTCAAACAGAAGGAAACAGAGGAGAACGTCCATGAACCTGAGTATATTTTCTTGGCATTTTCAAATGACAAGGTGTTTTAAATCGGTTTCTACAATATAGTCAAAAATATAGCTACATTAACAAAATATCTTCTCGAGAGAAAGATAAGGACGAGTTTTCAGGACAAAGAGAAACGCTGACAATATTCAACACTTAAATATTGAATGAGATGAACAGCGGTATTTTCTGTTCATTGTCCCAGCCCATGTATTATTCTTTCTTTCCTTTTTTTAGACAGGGTCTCACCACGTTGAGCTTCTCCTGCCTCAGCATGCCAGCTCGGAATACAGGCACATACTGCCACATTTGACTTTTTTTTTTTTTAAAGGCAGGGTTTTGGCGGCTGGCAGGGGGTGTGGTGGTTAAGATGTTGGACTCCCACATGGTTGACTGTGGTTTGAGTCCTAGATCTGGCAGCTTGCTTTCTCACTTTCCCTCTCTCTTTTTGTCTCTCTCTGGTTAGCACATGTGCCTTATTTAAAAAAATAATAAATTAAATTAAATAATTCTTCAAAGACTGGGTCTTGATATGTTGCCCAGGCCAACTTCAAGCTCATACTTCTCCTGCCCTGGCCTCTGAGTTCTGAGACTACAGGTGTGTACCATTGCCCCTCACCTTCAGGTGGTACCAGGAATTGAACCTGGGGCCATCTGAGTGGTCCCAGCCTGTGGAGCAAACATCTTAGCAGCACTGAGGCTGGGTCTCAACACATACTTTTTTGGAACTAATTTATTACACTTTATTTAGTTTCAAGATTTTTTTTTTTTTTTGAGAGGTTTTTCACTATAGGGCGCGTGCGCTCACCAGACAGACAGAGAGAAACAGAGAGACAGAAAGCGAGAAATCACCCCCCAGGGGGAATGGCCACGCCGCAATCCCTTCTCCTCCATTCTCCTCTCGGGATCTTGGGCACGCACGCACACATGCCCGGCGTGAGTTTTAAGCCACCAGGTCCGGGACGCGAACCGTGGTCGACTACGTGGGAGTCCAGCGACATAGCCATTACACTAACTGCGGTTCCCAGTTTCAAGATATTTTTAAGGAAGAACAAAAATCATGAATCTTGGAAAACTGCTGAAAATTGAGCTTGTACTTTTTTTAATAATATGCACAAATGTAAGAAAAATATTATATTTTAATTTACAGTATATTTGAATATAACTTTCAAAATAAATTTTACTGTTACTCCTTTAAACAATGTCCTGGGACAAGACCTTCTTTAAAGAAAACTGACCATACCATAAACATTTCTGTTCTATTTTTATCTCTTCAGAAATTTGGTTTCCTAACACGGGAGCGGGTGTGGGGAGCGACTGCCAAGCCTTGATTGCTTGTATGTGGTGGGTGTGGGAAGAGAAGAAATCAAAGATCTGCCCCAAGTTTCAGAATTGGAAGCCTGGGTAGATAGCAGTGCCATTTTCTGAGGGACAGTCAAGCTCTGGGGGTGTCAGAGGACAGACTCGAAGATTTAGAATTGGGTAAAGTCTGGGTGTGTTAAGACATCTAAGCTGAGGTGTCAAGTAGGCAGTTTAACATACAATCCTGGATATAGAAGGGTGCACTGGAGTGGCCAAGTAGATAAGCAGCAAGTAGAGGGTATTTAAAGGCTAGTGGGAACGGGTGAGAGCACCCAGGAAGTCATGGAGAGACAGTGAGACCAGCCCTACACCCTGAGCCACTTTAATACTCAGAAGTTAGGTAGAGAAAGAGAGGTCAGCAAGGAGCATGAGGAAAAAACAGCTGAGTTGAGGCACGAGCAAAAATCGAGTCTCGGGTCTAAGGTACACAGATTGTTCAGGAAAGGGACTAACTCTAGAGCTGGTGAGTTAAGTGTCAATGTAAAAATTTCTAGGGTAATCTCTAAAAGAACTGAAAGAGAATCTAAAAAAATAAGATAATAAATATAAAACCTACCCCTCCATCAATTAAAAAGAAAAAAAGAAAAAGGGAGGAGGAAAGGAAGGCAAAAAAAAAAAAGGAAGAAAATTAAATAGATATTGGGGTCTAATTAAGCAAAGCATAAAATAAAAAAAGTGTGTCCAAATAAACCAGTAATTATAACAAATGTAAATAAACTAAAGTTTCAGTTAAAGATAAAGATAAAACAAGATTAAAGATAAATTTATAAAATCCAGTTATATACAGCTTTTACAAAAGCATCTAAAAGAGGATATCATAAAAAGATTAATTTTAAAAGATAGAAAGTATTATTTAAAACTATTTAAATCACTGTCAATCAAAGGAACTTTTAAGATTAAAAAAAAAAATCCTCCTTAAAGACCTGCAGGTGGCATGGTGGTTAAGACGCTGGACTCCCACATGGTCAACCATGGCTCGAGTCCTGGACCGGGAGGCTTGCATTATCACCTGCCTTCTCTCTCTGATCACTCTCTGGTCAAATTAAAAATAAAAATAAAAAAAAAGAAATTAAGCAAAATAATTGTAAAAAAAAAATCACCATTAGAAATTAAGAGAGTCAAAACATACACATAAACCTAATGGACCTAATGGACAAATCTAGAATGCTAACAACCACAGATCAATATATAAGTTCTTTTCAAGCATATACAGGACATTTGCAAACAATGACTACAAATTGGGCCATAAAACAAATCTCAACCATTTCAAATACTGTTATCAGACAGATAACGTTTTGGTCCATGTGCAGTTAACCAAGTCATGAATAGGAAAAAACAAAACAAAACAAAACAGAAATATGTTTGGAAATTAAGAAACAAACTTCTAAATAACTCATGAAAGAATCATAATAGAAATTAGGAAAAAAAAATTGAAATAAAAAATATTATATATAGAAAATTGCCGAATTCAGATAAAGTAGCACCTAGAAATAAGTGTATAATTGTTTACATTTCAGGACAAATAGGAACACTGATAATGATCAATACTCCAATATTTAACGAGAGGAATAATATATAATGGAGAAAAACTGAGAACTAATATACTAAGTACACAACCTAAAAAGTAAGAAAGGGAATAACAAAATATAAAGAAAGAAGAAAGTAAAAGAACAGAAAATTAAAAAATAAAAATAGAGACAAGTATAACAAAGACAAGAAGCTACTCCTTGAAAAGACTAAAAAAGCTGACAAATCTGTGAGAAAATTAATTTTAAAAATTAGAGAATATGCAAAAAATATCAGAGATTATAAAGTGGATACAGCTATAGAAGTGAAAGAAATTAAAGAGAGAGTACTAGAGACAACTCATATACCAATGTATTTTTTAAAAAATGAAATGGAGGGACCAGCAGTTAGCGTAATGGCTATGTCGCTGGACTCCCATGTAGTCGACCGCGGTTTGAGTCCCAGACCCGGTGGCTTAAACTCACACCGGGCACGTGTGCGTGCGTGCCCAAGATCCCAAGAGGAGAATGGAGGAGAAGGGATTGTGGCGTGGCCATCCCCCCTGGGGTTGATTTCTCGCTTTCTGTCTCTCTGTCTCTGTCTGTCTGGCGAGCACACATGCCCTATAGCAAAAACCTCTCAAAAAAAAAAAAATGGATAAATTTCCTAGAAGATTTTAGTTTATCAAAACTGTCTAAAACAGAGAGAGATAAAGAGAAAAAGAAGAAAACCTTAGTATCCCTAAAATAATTGAAGAAAATGAGTCAGTAGTTCACTTCACACAGAAAATACCAAACCCAGATAATTTTACCATTAAGATTGACTAAATAGATGAGAATGGATATTAACTCTAATTTTACAAAAACCCTTCCTGATGAAACAGAACGAAATAGTACTTAACTTATTATGTGGGATTAAATAATCTTATAGCTACACGTGATAAGGTCAGGATGAGAAAGGAAAATGAAAGGCCATAATATAATGCAACTTCCCTAAACAAAATACTAGCCAAACCAAATCCAGCAGTATATAAACCAAGTTGGGTTTATCCCAGAATGCAAGGTTAATTTTCACTTAGTAATGACATTTAAAAAAAAAATCAAGCCAAAGATCTTCCCAATATAATTCTTACTGCACTTTTAGTGTGTATGAAAGTAATGTGGGAGAATAATTTTTTTTAAACATTCATTGTTCACACATAATGTGCATCTTAAAGTTCTAAAACAGTTTACCTCTTATTTAACATTTACCTTGCACATTCATTTGGTTCTTCTGTGGCATTCTTCAGTAAAATATTTATGAGGTAATGCTAAAAACACAAAATTAAGTCAAATATAAACTTGGTCTCTCAGATGGTTTCCCACATGACCTGACCATGTCCCAGGCAGCCAGGAGCTGCTGAAGGACTGGGCGCTTTGGAGAAGCTCCCCAGGGACAGGGGAACACTGGGCTCGGGGCAGCACGCAGAGGTCTCCCTGGGCCATTAAGCAAGGCTAGCGTGGGGTGCCTCTGGGTGCACAACAGGAATCTCCCAGAGCATGCGAGACTTCCAGAGAGGAGAGTCTCTGTTTCCTTGCACTGAGTTATATATTATGATCAGGCACCATAGCTAGAGAGATTGATTCTGAGATTTTAAAAGCATTTTTTGCTTGCCCCAAAGTCAGCTAGGAGAGAACAAATGCATAGTCTCCAAGGAATCATTTAGAATTTCAAATTATTAGTGGTATTTAATCAGGCTGACAATGGGATTGAATATATAGCTTACTTCCATTATTTCTTATAAATTCATTTGATGCACCAATGCAACATAATTACACTAATGAAATTATTACAAAGGCTGATTCATTACATAATTATGATCCCTAGCCATGATAAACAGACCTAATAAAAACCACCCGAGGGATATAGCTATCGGGTCTAACTGCAAAATGCTCTGAACTTAACATAGTTACCGTCCCTAAAACCGCATTCTAAAAACAACTGTTAAGACATTTAAGATACAGCAAAATGTCAGGGATGAGTAGATGAATGTATGAAAATGGAAGAGATGATCACAGAGCTAGAATTATACGCTAACCCTGGACTCAGTCAAATGCATGACATACCTTGACATCTTCGGTTCCCGTGATGACCTCATTCACTTCCGGTACTGACTGCAGTAAGGGGATCTCCTGGTAGGTATTTGGAAAGCAGACGAGGGAACCGAGAATGGTGAGAGCTTCTGAACGAGGCGCCTGCAACGCAAGAAAGTGTAACACACACACACACACACGTTACTTCTGTAAATTACAAACCTTCCACAAGTAACAAGTTTTACTTCTTCATAGTCTTGAGAAGGAGTCTTCATAATTATTTTATCCTAGAGAAGAAATATCAAACTAGGCCCAGTTATTTTTCCCCAACTGAATATTTAAGAAAATGAGGTTTACCTAATGAAAATGCAAATTTCCAAGGAATGGTAAATATTACTATACTTAGATATAAACAGGTGTTAAGAAAACTGGTGTGCAGATTTATTCAGAATTAAAACTGCAAATGATTCAGTCATGACTATTTTACATTGTTTTAGTGTTAATGTTCTTGCTATGAAGAAAGCAAGGAAAATTCACGAGGAAGTGGGACTGGCAGTAACTATCGTAAAGTAGAAAGAGACCACGTACCAAATTTCCTGAATTCTGGAATGCTAAGTGTGGTTCTCTTACCAAGACCTACTTTGCAAAATAACATGTAGTAAGATACTACATCACTATATCCAGTGCGGTATTTAGCACTTATTTGTCTATTATTGGAATTAGGCGTGCAAAGGGACTTCGAAAAGTTCATAGAACAATAGAATTAAAACATTGGGTTGGCAGAAAAGTTATGACATTATTTTTTCTATATTTTTCTATGCAAAGATGTGTCATGACTTTCCCAACAACCCAAAACTAGTTCACTTTTAAATTTTTTTTGTAATCCAACCATTGTTTTCTCATAGTACACGTTTTCCAATAATTTTTTGAAGAATCCTCATATATTAAAGGAGACATTTAACTAGATTTCAATTGAATCCACACTTAATAACAGCTGTAATTAGCCAAGAATGGGGGCAGGCACCAGGATTACAAAGGTCTGCCATCTATCCACTCACCCATCTGTCTAACTACTAATACCTGATAACCACAACAATGGTAGCTTCTGCTCAAGGGGTGCTGGAGTGGACAGGATGAGGGAGAGAATAGTATTGGCAGTCTAGCAAGTGTGACGACAGCTTTAAAGGAGCAATGACACCAGGGATGAAGCTGTTACATCTGCAGTGTTTCATTTTTTAAATGCACAGATTTGAAATTATTACAGCCAAATGTTCCTATCTGCCAAAGTCGGGCAAGGAGACTTTCCTTTCTCTCTCTTTCTCTTTCTTTCTTTCCTTTTCTTTTCTTTTCTTTATTTTTTTTTGAAAGGTTTTTGCTATAAGGTACGTGTGCTTGCCAGAAAGAGAGAGACAGAGAGACAGAAAGCGAGAAATCACTCCCCAGGGGGGATGGCCATGCCACAATCCCTTCTCCATTCTCCTCTCAGGATCCTGGGCATGCATGCACATGCCCCTGGCTTGAATTTAAGCCACCGGGTCTGGGGCTCAAACCGCGGAAGACTATGTGAGAGTCCAGCAACATAGCCATTATGCCAACTGTTGGTCCCATATTTATTCATTTTTAAAATTAGATAATCCTGCCTCAGACCGCTGAAATTGATACTTTTCCCTGAGCAGCACTGAACTTACATAGAATGTTAAGCCTGGCATGCACTATGGAATCCGACTGAATGCTAGACTTTCTATCATCTGGATGCAAAACACTAGAGCATAAAGAGTGGCTATAAGGCTGCCCCATGGCCTGGTAATTAAGGGAGCCAGATCCCACATGGCCAAACACATGATTCTAACACTGGTGTGCCCCGAATCCCAGCAGGATAGAGAAACCGAGAAGGAACAGCAGTGAGACCATGCTCTACTGGGAGGTGCTTTCTCCCTCTTCCTCTCACCCTTTCTGTCTCTTTTGGTGAGCACACGTACCCTCTGGCAATGGAAAAAAAAAAAGAAGAGAGAGAGAGAGAAAGAGTTTTTATAGCTTTATTCAAAGAATATAGTCAATCTAGTTCATTTATTCCATAAACACTGAGTTTACAGCAAGCTCCAATTTACAGACAAGGAAACTGAGGCCCAAGTACTCATGTGCACTGCCCAAAGACAGAAAACCAATATGGCAACCGAATCCAGGACTGAAGCTACCACACTGCAATGTCAGGAACAGGAAGGGAATTCCAGGCAAAGGAACTGGTTGAGCGAAGGTGGAACGTGCAACAGTAACTTACTGCGGCTGGCAACTCATGCAGGAAAGAGCAGGTGGAAATGAGAGGCTGCAAAGACAGGGGAGGGGCTCCACTCATGGTGTTCCCACATGCCCTGAATGTCACTAAAGTAGACAGAGCAATGACACCCGGTTAGAACAGGTGGGGTTAACATACTCTCCAAGCTCAGTCTGGGGAAGGGTGCTAATGAGGACTTGTGGAGAGAGGGCGAGGCTTAGATCAGAGCTTGGTGAAAAACGTTAACAAATGCCTACAGAGAAGTAGCAGCACTGTAGAGAGAAGCAGGGTGGGGGTGGGGGATGGAGAGAAAGGTGAAGACTGTGGTTCTTAGGGCTTCATGTCGGATTAGGTGTGGGGGCTGGGGGAGGCATGCTGCCACCTCTGTGCTCAGGGCTAAGGTAACTGGGCAATGCGGTGACTCAGAGAGCAGGAGGGAGAAAGCTGGGCTAAGACAAGCTGTGCTCTGCTGGAGCTTGGACTCAGCATGTCTCTGTGGCAGCTCGAGGCAGGCGTCCATGAAACAGGTCCATGAAACAGGTCCATGAGGGTCAGAGGGTGCATCCACCAAGGCCCCAGGGAATATCACAGGGGAGGAAAAAAAAGAAAAAGAGAAAGAAAAAAAACAAAGACTCCAGGGAAAAGGAGGTTGCAGAAATATTTGGTTAAGTACAGTTAAACAGAAGTCTTTAACATGTGAATGTACACTATGAATTTCCAAGTGAAGAATAATAATCATAAATGGTAGGATTTCCTTCTTTTTGAAGGCTAAATAACATTCCATGATATAGATGGACCACATTTTTCCTTGTCCATTATTCTAAGTGAGATAAAAGCCATTATAAACTTTCCCAGAGGAGCACAAGCAGCAGCACCCAGATGCTTATCCATTCATCTACGTATAGACACTTAGGCTGTTTCCACAGTTCGGCTATTGGGAATAATGCTACAATACTCAAAGGTCACAGAAATCCCTTCAAGATAGAGATTTCACTGCCCTTGAGTGTCTGCCCAGAAGTGCGACTGCTGGATCATATAGCAGGTCTACTTTGAACTCACTGAGAAACCTCCTTATGTTTTCCATGTTCTCTTTTACTGAAGCTTCCCCAACTTTCGTTATATTTTATTTTTTTGATGATAGCCATTCTAACAGTTTAGGTGATGATCTCATTGTAATTTTTTTCATAGTTTATTTATTTTATACAATCACTGTATATCATTACACCTTAAAAAATAACTTACCCCAGCAG